GATCGATACAACCATACAACTTGTTAACGTTCGATTCGACCTTACTCGCGAAAGTCGCTGCTTCTCGAATTTGGCGAAACGAGAATTTCAAGCGTGAGATATGCTTTATCAAATTATTTTATTGAATGACAGATGCACGAAACAGCTGATCGATACAACCATACAACTTGTTAACGTTCGATTCGACCTTACTCGCGAAAGTCGCTGCTTCTCGAATTTGGCGAAACGAGAATTTAAAGCGTGAGATATGCTTTATCAAATTATTTTATTGAATGACAGATGCACGAAACAGCTGATCGATACAACCATACAACTTGTTAACGTTCGATTCGACCTTACTCGCGAAAGTCGCTGCTTCTCGAATTTGGCGAAACGAGAATTTAAAGCGTGAGATATGCTTTATCAAATTATTTTATTGAATGACAGATGCACGAAACAGCTGATCGATACAACCATACAACTTGTTAACGTTCGATTCGACCTTACTCGCGAAAGTCGCTGCTTCTCGAATTTGGCGAAACGAGAATTTAAAGCGTGAGATATGCTTTATCAAATTATTTTATTGAATGACAGATGCACGAAACAGCTGATCGATACAACCATACAACTTGTTAACGTTCGATTCGACCTTACTCGCGAAAGTCGCTGCTTCTCGAACTTGGCGAAACGAGAATTTAAAGCGTGAGATATGCTTTATCAAATTATTTTATTGAATGACAGACGCACGAAACAGCTGATCGATACAACCATACAACTTGTTAACGTTCGATTCGACCTTACTCGCGAAAGTCGCTGCTTCTCGAATTTGGCGAAACGAGAATTTAAAGCGTGAGATATGCTTTATCAAATTATTTTATTGAATGACAGATGCACGAAACAGCTGATCGATACAACCATACAACTTGTTAACGTTCGATTCGACCTTACTCGCTAAAGTCGCTGCTTCTCGAATTTGGCGAAACGAGAATTTAAAGTGTGAGATATGCTTTATCAAATTATTTTATTGAATGACAGACGCACGAAACAGCTGATCGATACAACCATACAACTTGTTAACGTTCGATTCGACCTTACTCGCTAAAGTCGCTGCTTCTCGAACTCGGTGAAACGAGAATTTAAAGCGTGAGATATGCTTTATTAAATTATTTTATTGAATGACAGACGCACGAAACAGCTGATCGATACAACCATACAACTTGTTAACGTTCGATTCGACCTTACTCGCGAAAGTCGCTGCTTCTCGAATTTGGCGAAACGAGAATTTAAAGCGTGAGATATGCTTTATCAAATTATTTTATTGAATGACAGATGCACGAAACAACTGATCGATACAACCATACATATACATGTTCATGGGTGTCCGTAGGGAGCAGGAAGGGGCATTTGCCCCCCTGGAATCAGTAAAAAATTAATCATTTGCTCTCCTTGTGAATAAACACAGGGATTTATTTGCAATTTTACTTAATATAAAAATGTTAAAATAACAAATTTTAATCATGCCCATCTCTGAGAAAAGTCCTATATCTTATATCGTATGAGCAGAAAAAAACATAGAAATGTTTTTTAACTTTTTTTATATTAATGAAAATTTTAACATTGCTTGAATTTAAATTATGATTACAAACTTTATATAATAAATGCTTGACAGTATCAAAAAATAGTATATAATTGAAAAATGAATGCGACCCTTCGATCATATTTAAAAGACTCAAGTCCTAATTCATCAACCATTGGTGGGGTTCATTTATATTTCGGAAATTTCTTCTACAAATCCAACAAAATATCGCGAATGAACAAAAATAATAATTATTCGAGAAATTCAGTCCTTCTCATCGCATCTCGCGGTATCCTTGGAAATATCAAAGAGCATTCTTCATCAGTGCTGCCGAAAACTAATGCGCCTGATCAGAAAGCGGACCATCGCGATGCCGGGGATAGACATTTCGCGCAGCCGGTGTATCCAAAGTTTAACTTTACACCGAGGGGAGTGAGAGAGAGAGAGAGAGAAAAGGGAGGAAACGCCCGTTCGACGTGATCGCACACCATGTGTGTGAGCCTGCCCCCGGTCCACGTATTATGACTACTTGTAGAGCACGTTTGCGGTCCCTCGTTGTGCGAGCGAACTGCGGAGGAAGCTTTTCCCTGCCGCGCTTCTTGGCGACCTTAGCGACACATGGCGCGACGAGAGGAGGCTCTCTCGAGTCTTTCCAACTCGTTCGTCCTATCTCGCGAAATACGGGAAACGCAGTCGTGAGAAATTCCTCCTCTAATATCGGCATCGGGGGAAGATTTGTGGGGGGGCTGCAGACACAGAAAAGGCCCTCTCCGATTGTATTTTTCTCCGTAAATTGTCTCTTATCCTATATATATATTTTTCGCGACGAAACATTTACGGAAAAAACGCGCGAAATCGATATAATATATCTCGAGCGATATTACGACATCGTGTGGTAACGCATTTGCATTCCGGGTCCACCTTCTCCTGTTTAGAGCGTGTTAATAAAATCTCAACACCTGGCAGGTTTTCATTGGCTACATTACACGCACAAATCTCGAGACGCACCCTTTAATTTCCTGCACGCGATGACGAGGATAAACGGGATTGACTATAATGACCGTTAACTTACTGCTAGGTGGTTATAAGTACACACGCGCGCTCCGATGTTACTACGTGTGTACTTAAGTAACGCGGTTAATTATAACAGCTCGAGTCGACACTTCGCGGCGACGCGCGGTTCTAACCCAATTTCTCTATCTCTCTCTCGATGTCACATTAATTGAAAAATTATAGAGTAAAATGATTGAAGATGGAAATTTATATAGCTTCAAACGTCATCTACCATATTATTTTATTCATCGATAACTATATGTGAAAAAAAAATAAATAAAATTATTTATTGCTTGTCGTATGTATGAATTTGATCCACAATTTGCTGATCCTTTCTGATAAAACTTGAATTGTAATAAAATGATCGTGTTCTCGCGTCAAAGAGCCATCTCCCCTCTTTCCTTTCCATTTTTACATACATACGTCCGCGTGCCAGAACGATAGCGTGAAACGGCAGACGAGAGTGAAAGAGCGATTTGGTGACATCAAAGTTTAATAAGCGCCATAAGCCGATCCAACCTGCGACTAAAACTCGTCGAGCAATAAAAGCAGTAATAAAGCGTTCGTCTTTCTCACGTTCCAGCACGCGGGCTCTATAGGGTGGCAGAGAGAAAGAGAAAGGGCTCGTTCGCTCGCTCGCACGGTGGTTAGCCGAAAGGTTAGAAGGGCGGGAACGCATTAGCGGTGGAAGGTGGCTGCGCTCATAGAGACGTCCGGTCGCCCAATTACTCCCGCATTAAATCAATGTTCCGCCACCCCCACCGACCGTATACCGCCATCCCGGTAATAAACCGTGGCCGACATATCTGCACGACTTACGGACTCATCCCTCCGGTGTCGCTCACGACCCTCGACTACTCGCCCGATCTGCTCTGGGGAGAGAACGTCGTCGGAATGCGAGTTCTGTCGTAATATTTGGCTTTAAATCATGTCGCGTTGACAGGCCCCCTTCTCCATCTTCGCGCGCGTTTCCTTCTGATTCATCAGTTCTCGCGAGATCCCTTCGTGTCCGATGTTGGGGGTTTGGGACTGTCTAACGCGGCGATTCGGCTGGAAAGAGTTTAATCGCGACAAACGTCTAGTTTAAAAATTTTATTTATGCGACCGAGCAGTCTGTCTTGACGGATAAAGAGTTTGTAAATTGTATTTCATTTCATTTCTGGACGGATTTACTATATTCTTCTGATTCATCAATTCTTCCTAGTCGTGAACTTTTCATGTCCAATGTTGGGGGTTTATTAGGACTCTTTGATGCGACGATTCAACTGAAAAAATTTAATTGCAGCAAACATCTAGTTTGAAAATTTCGCATGTGCAGCCGATCAGTCTGTCTTGACAGATAAAGTTTATAAATTGTAGTTTATTTCATTTTTGGACGAATTTACTATATCCTTCTGATTCATCAATTCTTCCTAGTCGTGAACCCTTCATGTCCAATGTTGGGGGTTTATTAGGACTCTTTGATGCGACGATTCAACTGAAAAAATTTAATTGCAGTAAACATCTAGTTTGAAAATTTCGCATGTGCAGCCGATCAGTCTATCTTGACGGATAATATTTATAAATTTCGTTTCTAGACGGATTTATATCCTGATTCATCAGTTCTCGTTATTTAGTCGCGATCCCTTCGTGTCCGATGTTGGGGGTTTGGGACTGTCTAACGCGGCGATTCAGCTGAAAAGAGTTTAATCGCGACAAACGTCTAGTTTAAAAATTTCACTTATGCGACCGATCAGTCTGTCTTGACGGATAAAGAGTTTATAAATTGTATTTCATTTCATTTCTGGACGAATTTACTATATCCTTCTGATTCATCAATTCTTCCTAGTTGTGAACCCTTCATGTCCAATGTTGGGGGTTTATTAGGACTCTTTGATGCGACGATTCAACTGAAAAAATTTAATGCAGCAAACATCTAGTTTGAAAATTTCGCATGTGCAGCCGATCAGTCTATCTTGACGGATAAAGTTTATAAATTGTATTTCATTTCATTTCTGGACGGATTTATGACATTCAGCGAAGAAGAATAGAAGAAAGGGGGGTCCCGGAGTCGGAACGTGGCACCATTCAACCGCAAGATTAGGTTCGCGCGCAATTTACGACGGCTAAGATCTTATTCCTAGCCGAGCTTTCACATAAAAGCTTTTTCCTGTAAGCTGCGACACGGGATTTGGATTCCGGGGTTGCGTATAAGAGGGGCAATGCCGATCGCGGACCGCGACGAATTAGTAATACTTATATAAGTACAACTTTGACTGGAGAACTATGTCGCACAAATGCTGTATAAATCGCGAAACGATAGAAGAGATCGCCTTTATAAAAAAAAAAAATGATTATTTCAAAAGAATTACTCTTGAAATAAATTAAAGAAAATTGTTTTTTCTGTTTCCAGATATCGAGATGACGCGCTCTGCTGGACGGACAGGTAAGAAATTTTGTTATACCACATATATATATATATATATATATATTATATGTGTGTGTGTATGTGATGCGATGTGTGTTTTCGCTTATCGATGTGAATTAATGAGCGATCGAGGGCTCGCGATCCTTATTTATCGATAAACGGACGGCAATGCGTTGTTACGCGTCGGAAAAAGCAACCTAGCGATCTAATAATACAAGGCGAAGTTACGCGGAAAGGAACACGGGTTCCTCTCTCAACGAACGCAGGCCGGGGATATAAGAGATCTCGCTCCGGCGAGGTGATTGATACAGAGAGATCGACGTCGCGACGCAATTCCATTGTTCAAAGCGAGCGCACGCAGAAGCGGAGGCATCGAGAGGTCTGGCACGAGGTTCTTACCTAAGGATATAAATCAACTCTCGAGTGACGAACGAACGGAGCCGGCACACGAAGCCGGTGTTTCACACACACACACACACACACATACACGTACGCATACTGGACCGGGCGACTTCTAAACGAAAGACACTTTGCTACTCGCAAACTAAATTTACGTGTTCTTTCACTGAAAAATTGTATTCTCGTTTCATCATTTCTGTCTATTTTTAGAAGATCCTGTTCTAAAATAGGCGCTCAAAAATTCTCTTACTTTAACAGGAGAATTCTTTAATATCTCAGATAAATATTTGTAAAAATAAAGAAATGGGATTTATTTTTACATTAATAAAATGTGCATTATTTCCATTAATAATATTTTTCTATTAAGAATATAAATATGATGTTTTTTAAATCGGCCAACAGAGCCAAAGCACGAAAAATTAATTATTCGGAACTGTTCGAAACTTATATATGGAGAAATAGGCGCGAAAAATATGTAAGTTTCGAGATTAATTTATATATGGAACTTAGTGATCTCAAACCAAGAGATACAGTTCCGAATAATTAATTTTTCGTGCTTTGGCTCTGTTGGCCGATTTAAAAAACGTCATATTTATATTCTTAATATTGAGAGTCGATAAAAATATTTCTTTCTGATTTTTCTAATAAACTATATAAATATAAAGTACACGACTGTTTGTTATTATAAAATATTTTTAATTTTAGAGGATGTTTTAGAAACACTTAGGAATATCTGGAGAAATTAAGAATTTTCAATTATATCCTCTTATTTCGAGAATACAATTTTTTCGGTGTCGAAGGAAGAGTAACCGATTCTATTCCAAAAATGCGTTTACAAAATTAAAAAAAAAAAAAACGCGAAAAGTGTTAGTACGTTATGGCAATATTCATCACGACCCACGAGTGGCTATATCCCAGAACAAACTATTATGCGTAATCACGTTGCGCGAAGAAAAGTATAATTAATGACGGCGACGCGTCGAACGCGCGGTATCGCTGTAATTAACTCTAAACGATTTCACGCTAATTGCAAACAACATAACGCGATTAATAACACGTTATCGCTTTCCTCCCATCGCGTCTGCATATTCTCCTCGTCTGTCTCTCGCGATTCTTCAGAACGTCACTCGTAATCGTCCCGCGAATGAAAAATCTCGCGTCTTTGGAACGAAATTAATGAGACCGGCATCTGGCACACTATGCATCGTTACGAAATATTAACGCATTTGTATTTACTCATAAATTAATACCGCGGAAGGAATAAGGGTCGAATGTTGATACCGAGAAATTTGTAAAAAAAAAAAAAAAAAAAAAAAATAATAATCTCCAATAGCGCTCTTTTCGTGATATAAATTATATTTAAAGCCGATTATTAAGACGATTATTAAGCAGGGGCGATTGATCAGTGAAGAAAAGAAGCACTATGGTAAAAAAATGCATAAGGGTTATCTGCGAAACTCGTCCGGAGCAGGTTGATAATTATTGAAGTATCGATTAAATGCTCCGTTCGCCTTGATTGATCAGCATTTATATCGTGGGTACATCCACCTCGACGGTTCCCTACAATTTTAAACCGGGTGCCCCATCCCACCCGAGTTGTCCATCTCGCGGGCTCTTAAACCGTAACGCGCCCGTTTTCGTTCCTACTAACAGCGCCGTTAAGAGCGAATGAAATGTTAATTATATTATTCATAATCGCGCCGACGTAAGATATTATCCGGGGTTTTTTTATATCGACTGGGTACAGTAATTGACACGCGATCGAAAAAATTATCATAATTTTCGACCGCATCTTCGGGGGTTTGAAAACCTTCGAATATACGCGACGAAACCGATCGACGAAGACGGATAGCGGAAATTTCGTAAGGTTGCGAGTACCCTTAAAAAATCGCGGCCTTATTTTTTCCCTTCCTCGGACGAGCGATTTAACTGGATATCGTTATACTACGTTGTCGGGCATTGTTGTCGCGGTCCCCCGGTTTCGTTCATCGGTTTTACCCTCTTACTTCGTCGAGATGCCTCTTTCTCCCTCTCGCGCAACATTGCCCGATCCGATCCGCCGATCCTATATTTATTGTATCGAGGAGCCGCCGCATTCCACGCGCATGCGCCGCCCGTAATGAGCGGTCTCCAGTCCTGTCTGTCTTTCCGTCCGTCTATCCGGAGGACCGGTCGACCGGTCGCCTTCCATGCCCCCTACTTGGTCCCTTCTCGTGAGATCGCTGGCCGCTATTCTTCGCTCGCTCCCTAGCTATTTGATCTCGCCACTGTCGACGGACCGCCGGGACCTTCTTCTACATCCAGATACACGCGCACCAAATTGTACCTTTCTTGCGAGACTCGCATTTGACATTGACACGAGATTGATTTTTTTCCGTCCCTTTTAATCCCAGCTCGAGCGGGACAGCGTTAATGAGGATGTCGCGATCACCTATTTCGGTGAATCAATTTACAGCTCGATTGTTATCGGATTCTATTGTGCTCCCAGATTCACGATATAGTTACGCTTATTTTAGACGGTTGTGGCAGCGTAGCGCTATTAAACACCAAAGCATAGAAAAAGTAAAAGTATTTTGCATTGCCTTAACCAGTAACTTGACCGGCCAGAAGACATCGCCGTCTATAGTCTTGCTACACTTGATACCGTCCACTTACGCAAAAACGTTTCTTATTTTAGTCGCGACTCGAGATTTCTCGCGTTTATTGGAGAAAGATCAGTGTCTATGATTGCAAAAATTTTATACAATTTTTACGTAAATCTTGAAAATAGTTTCCGTTTTATGAAAAATATCCGGAAGAAGTATACCGTCGTAATACGCTAAAAATATGGTAATTTTCGTACAAGTTGTCGCGAAATGATGACGAGCTGATTGATTTCAAACATTTTTGGAGCAAAACTTTTAAATTCTATAAACGTTTGCAGAAATGATTACACGTTTTACATGATAAGCATATAAAATAACGGTAGCAAGCATAAACTTTAAATAAATGGACAACTTTCGTATCGTGCGAGGAATCTTAAAGTACCAAAGTATTTTTATATTTTCTAGCATAAAATAAAACTGCGAGAAATTTTTAACTGACTACATATATGTATGTATGCACGAGTATTTCACTCTTAGTAAATTGATTTTTCTCCAATAGAAAAATCTTTAAGAGACTATAAAGTTAAAAATAATTTAACACTCATCAACAGGATACGCAACGACGGAGTTGTAATACACAATGTTGATCTGTAAAAACAAAAATTCAAATATATTATACATACATATACATAAAGTAGTGTCTAAAATAATATATAACAAAATTATTATTACACGCAATAAAATTTTTTACTCGTTTTTTAAACAGATGTTTAATAAAATAGGTTGCATTATTTGTCTAAATTTTTTTAAGTATAAACTTTTGGAAACATAAAAATAAAAATTTCTAATTTTTATATAAAAATTCTAAGTATAAAAATATTAAAATATATATATATATATAAATATTAATTGATATAAATATTTTATTATAGATATTTTATATATTTTAATATAAGATCTGGAATATTTTATATGCGTTATAATACACGATAATTTAAAAAAAGGTAGTATTGCGGAGATAAACTTAATTTTACAAGTAAATAATAAATAATTATAAGTTTTATTTACTCTATGGTTGCTCCAGCATTGCATGACACTTTCTCGGGCCTCCTTTTTCTTTCCTATTTAGTCATTGTTACTTCGTCAAAGCATGTACATACCCGAAAACTGAATTAATTACGATTAGTAGAATATGACTATCTCTCGCGACTCTTTGCACGACACTCCCGACGTTAACAATTTTATTACGACGAGATAAAAATACTGTTTTATACTGAAAAATCATGTGGCTAAAATTCACGCGCGGTTTATCACGATAATGTTGTCTCTATTATTTAGAGGATAATTTTAATATTTCATGTGATGTATAACAAGCTAAAAATATATAAATGAAAATTAAAAACATATATTCGCGGACTGCAATATTTCAAAATATAATTAGGTTGAGTTTCTCACATGCACACGCGACAGATTTCGAACGAATAAATCTCGCGAAATACAACTGCATATTTTTTAATTAAATGCATCTTGACTCGAAAACAATCTTAATTGTATTGCAAAAATAACACTGGTTTAGCTTTGATATCGCGCGATATTACGCAAATAGAATGATTGATTAAAGCAGCGAACCAACAGAAAATACGATATATCGAGAAATTATATATAGAGTGAATATAATATATTTGCAATGTATACATTTTGCATATACATATTGTAATATGCATATCATTAATACAGACATGATATGTATTAGTCGTAAATAGATACATATTATTAATCGATATATCGTGTCTTTATTATTTGCATATCAAGTAGCCGTCATTTACAGTAAAAATTAATCAATTGGACTATCGTTAATTGTAATAATTATAAAGAATAATAACATTTCGAAAAATAATACACACAGAGCGATTCGAGTCTTACCGTACGAATGACAACAATATATTGTGTTTCTTAAACTTCCAATCAATTATATTATTAACGAAACGTTCATGTCACTATTTCGCGTTATATGAAACGATCTCAAACTCGATT